ATATACCCACAATGAGAAGATGATTTTACTTAGTCTGGGAGAAAGTACTTCAGAAGCTCCAACTTCATATTTCATAGCAGGCTTTGCATTTAATTTCAGGAACTATAGACAGGTCTAGGGTAACAATGGAGTAAATGAAGATCAGGGAATCTGTAAATGATATCAGGCATGCTATCAGTTGACACCAGCTCAACAGTAGGATTGATTACAGTGTTAACTTGTCCTACCTGCAAAATTATGTGTCCTGTTTCCAAATGAGGATCAACAAGGTACATTTATGTACCTTCAAAAATGTATTTGGACCAGCTTCATAAAGGCAAGTTAGTCTAAAATTAGTGCAGGAACATCACACATTTTTTTTATTTTGAACATAATATATTTACTAATTCTTTGGGAATTTCCTACTAATGTATTTTGATCATCTTCATTCCACATTCTTTCCACTAGCTCCTTCCAGAACCACCCCCAACCTTACCACTCCCAATTTCATGTCATCTTTATTTTGTTAATAATATTTTTATTCTTTAAGAATTTTGTACAATGTACTTTGATTATATTCAACCCTCTTTCTCATCACCTCTCAGATGTAGCCCTACCTGCCTAGTCCCTGCAGAACTTCAAGTCCTTTCTTAAAAGTCCATCAAGGCCAGTGTGTGTTTGTCAAATACTCTTGGGTGTGAGTCCTTTTCCTGGAGGGTTTTCAACCCACTAGGGGCCATACCCTTAAAAAAAAACTTTCTCTTGCTCTACCAGAAGCTATCAAGTTGCCAATAGCTCCTCAGAGAGGGATAAGACTTCATGTCTACTGTCCCCCTCCATGCTAGGGTTTATGTATGGCCTGATCTTGTGAAGATCTTGTGCATGCAGTCAGTCACACCCTTGGTCAGTTCTTATATGCCTAGCCCTGTTATGTCCAAAAGCACTGTTTTGTTATAGTCATCCACTGCCCCTGGTTCTTAAAGTCCTTCCACCCGTCTTCTGTGAGGATCACTGAGCCTTGCAGGGAGGAATGTGATAGATATATATAATTTTGGTTGCCTAAGCAATTTAATACAGGAAATTAAAAGAAAACTCTTCCTTTTGTAAAATTCCATATTTCAATAGTAACAGCACAGCTCACAAGAAAGAAGCTGAATGCTTTAAATATATTAGTGTAAAACCAATATATGTAGACTGATTAGAGTCCTACCCAGAGAAACTCACTCAGGTTAACATTGTTAACCTGAGTGAGAAGACACACAGGTCCAAGTGATTAACTTCAGTGGGGAAAACAGGGTGTTCTTGCCACTACCTCCTGGAATGATGCACATAAATAAGCCTCCCCTGAGGCAGGATTAGAAACTTCAGTGGCTTCATCAAGCAGCCCAGGTGTCAATGGCTCTACATCCTAAGCCTTAGAAGTTTAAAAGTGACTAAGGTGAATTAAGTGCCTCTCTACTGACTGTTTCTGCATTATTTCCCCTTCTCTTTCTTAAAAAGGCTTGCCTCTGGTCTTTGAAAGAGAAGCAGCTATTATGGAACAGTACACCACAAGAAGATTCAGGTGTGTTGAAAAAACTGCATCTATAACTTGATAATAGCACTTTATATAAGACAGTTGATTAGATGCTGTTTTCTTTGGCTTAAAACAATGTAATCCTTCCTGGTATAAAAAGTAGCATACTTCTGTTTCTATGACATATTGTGTGAAAATGTTGAAAAGAATGGTTTATCTCTACTCTGAAATGTCTTAATATGTAGCAATGCAATGATCAAATGGAATACCAAGCTACATTAAAGATTTAATACATTAGCATTACAAATGTAATATGCAGGGTATTTCAGACATTTCAAGACAGATTGCAGAATGGTATACTGTTGCAGGGGGGAATCTAGCTCTTAAAACGGGTGCAGTTCCCCCGAAGGGCCCCATTCCACTGAAAAGTGTCATTGAATGGCAATCATTTGTATGTTTATTTCAGAGAACCTTTGGGCACTCATGAACTGAGAATTCCAACCAGCAGCAGATGCAGACCACTTAGAGTCCTACATGGAGAACCCCCTCAGCCTAGGTGGTTGCCTGATCAAGAAGAGCCACAGGTTCAAGTACTTCAGCAACTGCAGGGGGCAACCAGAGTGTTCATGCCACTACATACTCAGGATAGTGCACTTAAGCCTTTGCAGAAGCAGGCTCAGGCACCTCCACGACTATATAGAGCAGCTCAGGTGTTCAAGCCACTACAAACTCAGATTAAGGCTAAGGCATCTATACCTCTATACATGCAGATTAAGGCACCTCCACGACTAAGGAAGGCAGCCAGGGTCCTCATGCCAATACCTAGTCAGAGTATAACGCCTAGTCTTCTACAAGTACAAGCCCCCATACCTAAAGAGATCCAGGCTCAGGTCAAGACATTAGAATTGGACCAGCCTAAAGATCTGGACCAGGTGCCAGAAGAATTTCAGGGGCAAAATCAGGCATCTGAACAACAGCAAAGGCAGGGCCAGGCAGCTGAACAACAGCAAAGGCAGAATCAGATTCCTGAGCAGCATCTGGATCAGAATCAGGCACCCGAACAGCCAGAGGTACAAGAACAGGCTGCCGAGCCTGCACAAGCTGAGACTGAGGCAAAGCAACCTGAGTTATTACAAGTACATGCCCAGCTGTTCCTGCCTCTACTCTCACAGAACCATCATGTGCTCTTGCCACTTCATTTGGATACCCAGATACTAATTCCAATAGGGGGACAAAATGAAGGGTCATGTCAAGCACAGGCCTGGGCACTAGGGGCCTCACAGGCAGTTGACTCAGTTCAAGCATTGGTAGAGGGACTATCAAGAGACCTGCTTCGAGCCCCACACTCACATATCTCAAAGCCACTTGGTCCACTACAAACCCTGATGGAAAACTTGTCATCAAACATGTTTTACTCTCAACCAGAACAGACAAGGAAGAAAAAATCGAAAGTTTCTAGTCTAAGGCAAGCATTGGCAAAAAGGCTATCACCAAAGAGGTTCAGGGCAAAGTCATTATGGAGAATTGAAGAGTTTGAACTCTCAGATTTGGAAGCTGGCAGGAGACGGCGCCAACGTAGATGGGAGGACATTTTCAATCAGCATGAAGAGGAACTGAGACAAGTTGAAAATGTAAGAATTTTTGATACTTTTCCTATGTGAAACCTGATGAGAAAAGATACGAGTTCATACTTAATTTTTTTCCTCTGTAAAAACAAATGAAATAAATATTCTATATTTTACCAAAAATTTAATAATTTATATGTCAAAAAGATCATTCTGAGCTTTCCAGATAACTGTGATCCAAAGATGAAAATTTTCTTTAATAATGAAAGTAATGGCTTAATGTATCTCCATAGGACTTGTGC